ACCAATTTAAAGACTTCATTGCACTATGAGTATACTTTGCCCAGGGTGCACCAAGTGGAGGTAAGTCTATCGCACACTCCGTATTATTATTATTTTATCCTCCATTTCATTCAAAAATGACTGAATACCTTTTATCTACAATTAAGATGACAAAGATGCTTTACATTCTATGGTTAATGTATATTTGCTTTTTGCACTGCCACCAAGACAGGCTGCGAACAGTTCATGTTTAATTTCGTCTAGCGACTCGTCATTTGTATGCAAATCATCATACAGAAATGGCACATATTAGCATGCCATTTTTTCAGTTGGAGGTAAATTTATTCAATGCTACTTCCGATGCAGTACCCTGCGCGAGTTGAATATCGCCTAGATTTTATCGATGATAAATGGTCTCAACTTGAAGCAATATTTTGCTATTAACGTACTTTATAAAACATATGCCATAGCAATTCACATTCTCCCCATCACAATGTGGATTATTCATGGTATTATTTGAGTGAAAAAAAAGATTTTAATTAATGAAGGTACATGATATGAGAGTAGTGGAATGCACATTCATGGTGAAGTCGAGCAGGTAGCCATTGGATTACTGCACCTTCAATCAGACATGATTATGGTATCAATTTAAAGCAGCGAAAGTTTAAAGATGGATTGTAGAATCATTGCTTAATCTGACGAGGGCAGAATTCATAGTGGAATAATAACAGAAGAATGGGATTATGGATGAGGACGGAAAACTAAAGAATCTGCAGTGTTTGTGGAAAGAACTTCAATTCTTGGCGCGCAAAATGGAGGGGTGCGAGGGCGAGTAAATGACCTCGTGGTCAGATGACAATGCACCATAGAGATGACAAAGGTGCACAGTCACCTTCCTCATAGATTTATTTATTTATTTCAAATGACAGGCGTTTTGATAGCTATCATTAGCCCATTAGCTGACTTCGGGTTTTACAGAGAGGAGGAGGAACATCAAAGTGACAAAAAGACGAGAGGGGGGACAGAAAAATGATTCACCGATTTAAAGGAGACAAACAGATACAAAGGCAGAGAATAGGTAAGATAAGTACTGGGGAATGGGTCGAATATGGCATGCAGTTGGCCATGGTAGTTTGAAGTCAGAAGTCAACTGCCGGCTGATAGACATTTTTTGCCGTATGAGTATACGTTGCCCAGGGTGCACCACGTGGAGGTAAGTCTATCACACACCCTCCTTCCTCATAGATTATTTTACTCATACGGATTACACTCTGTATCCTAAGACTTTGTTCCTACTAAAATGCTCAAGGTTATCTATATTTCTAACAAAGTTATATTTTACAGAATTATTTAAGCAACAACCACTCCTACTTCAAGTAAATTCCAATAATGACAAGTTATCCAAATCTGGTGAGAGTATTACAAGTTTCCTATTACAATTTCTAAGTAAGGTGTTTTAATTTAGAGCCTTTCGTTAACAGAAGACGGCTTATATTAATTTCGAATTATTTTATTTACTTCTCTGAACTGCCTTAAGTAGATTTTTATAAGTTAATATAATGTGACTCAATAGAAAAAAACACGATTTTAATTTAGCGAACATTTAAGATTACACAATCGAGTTAAATCTTCGAAATTTTAAGCCTTAAAATGAAAATATTAATGGTAAATGCCGATAATATTAATGTGGCCCGATTAACGGTCCAACTAATATATCCGTTCACCTAGCCAGGTCCCCTGTTATGAGTTCGTGTTGACCAAGAAGGAACAATTAATTTCAAGAAGATAATTAACAGCGAAATGACTCAATAATACATGTAGTTTTAATCTAATATTTTTTTTGTACTAGTTTAGGTTGCATTTTAATGGAATTTTTTATTGCCAACAGATTAACGCATCAATGAAAGATGTGCGATTGGAAAAAAATAGATTGAGAAAAGGAAGTAATCTTCAGTCATAAGAATTCCTTCAGGGAATTATTAATAGGAACTAATTAACCGATTATTTAAAAAAAACAAAAAAAAACGAATAGAGGGTACTACAATTTGCAAGCATTCAAACATCTATACCGCTAGACTGTGTTATGATGTATATTCCACTCACAATTACAAGTTACTACAAGTGTTCAGGTTCTTGTGAGTAAAACCGCAGATTACGAATATGACACTTCCTTTATTAAAGCCATTTATAACCTGTCTGTATTGAAAGACATGGGTCTTTTTAGGCCAAGATATTAAATCAATTATTTAATGGCTATTAGACTTCATTTTATGAGACAAAATGTAATTAGCCAGACAATGAACCAATCAGTGCAGGGTAGTCAAACTTTTCCTTCAGGGTTCCACCATGATTATAACGAGAAAGTAACATGAAGTGGAAGTAGTATAGTATTTTCGATGTACGACAAAGGATTGTTTTGCAAAAGTCATAATAGGATAATGTTGGGACAAAGTCATTCAAAATGAAATGTCCCTTAGTGACGTTTTGATTTGTTTAAATAAAGTGCTACCAATCCGTCAGTTTATTGAAAGCTTCAATGCAATCGGTAATTTCTAGGTGAAGTGGTAGATTATTTGCATGTGCAGTCCAACCCAGTGTATCAATATCCGCTCATTTGGCTCTTTCTGTTTTTCTTCAATTCAGATACACATTCCTTTTATTGCCAAAATGTCCCCATTATGTCCTCTTATCTTATTTCGAACTCGAAATAACAAAGGAGAATATTCGATTTTTTTCATTACTATTCCACCATTATTGTAAAGTTTAGCACAACTTCAAGAGTTGTACACTGAATTCCATTTGTTTTAAAGTTCATAATTGCTTTGAGATTAAAGCAAACAACTTCATTCGGTGTAAACCAACACACCTGTCCCATTGGATACAATAAAATCGATGAAAATATATTAAAAAGAGATTTGTTTATGAATGGTTAATTAAATTTTGTAAATGCATAACTGGCTTAATTATATCAGCTGTCAAATCACTAGGTGATAAAAAACAATGAGAAATTCACATTTTACATAGTCATTCGAAATTTTATTCATATTTGAAGCAATTTTCCTAGTCTAAACATGTCAGAAACAAATTATATGTCATAGTGGAGCCCGTGTTAACCATCCATTTAAACAATTTTTCGTTCTCTATAATTGTAGAAATCTCCCTTCAAACTTTGTTATATCGTTGTCAAGGCCTAGAATTAGCATTATTGGAAAACATAATGATGAAAAGTATTTGTCAACATTTTTCCCTTTTCCTTATAATTTATTTCCAAACTCTATAATTTTAGGTTAAATATTTTTGAAAAGCTTTAGGACAACCTGACGTTGGTTTATTATTCGCATTCAGCAATGACGTGAACTTCTGAATAGCTGAATATGTAGATAAAGTAATTTTATGAGACATTTCCTGAAAATCAGTCATTAAGCAAATCTTTACCGTATATCACTTTAAGAGAAAAATACACGAATAAACAATTTGTTAAACCTTGGTATTAGTCAAAAAAGTCTTATTAGATGAAGTCTAATAATAATTTATTGCAAATGAGAGGCGTTTTGATAGTTACCATTAGCTCTTTAGCTGACTTCGGACTTCACAGAGGGGAGGAGGAACATCAAAGTGAGAAAAATTCGAGTAGGGGAATGGGAGAATGAATTACAGATGCAAAAGCGACAGACAGACATACAAGTAGAGAAAAAGGTAAGGTGAGTATTGTGGAAGTGGTCAAATGTGACATACAGTGGGGCCGTGGTAATTTGAAATCTGGGGTCAACTGCCGGTTAATGGATTTTTTGTCGCATGAGTATACGTTGCCCAGGTTGCACAACGTGGATGTAAGTCATTTGCATACCCTATGAAGTCTAATGTGAAAGTAAGATGCCCTACTATTAATGTCCTTGCACCCGAGGTTAAGTCGACCATTTCAAAGTAAGAAGAAAGAAACGCACTGAAGGGTGATAAACGTCTTTTGAAACCTCGCGAATTGCACAAAATGATCGGTTGTTAGATGCGTTTACTTTGAGAATGCACATTAGTAGCTAATCAGATGAGAGGACTTCTGAATGCACGATGGATGCTCTAGCGTGAGGTTCCTTTGGCCGACTTTATTAAACTTGTTTGCTTCAAATGCTCGTTTGTAGTCTCTATAACCGATAGTCTTCAAACCCCAGAAGGTAAAAAAGGACATTTTAACTTCATGGTGATCCTTAAGTGATTATAGTCAATTTCTGAAACGATTTATAAATGCTTAATTAAATTAGAACTCAAATTTGGGTGGACTCTACTGTAAACTTGCTAATAATAAAGTTTCTGAATGCATGCTTTTTAAACAGCAAATATTTTTAGCGCTCTCATGGGCATATCGTTTCGTTTTATATCATACCATGAAGTTTGGAATGAGAAAATTCATCACAGAGTTCACGTCAATTTATTCCGCAGTTAGTGTTGACAATTTATTTAAATTTATCCTCGTCTCAAAAATATTTTTCCAATACTTATTAACGTTTGGCAAGAAGGTCTAAATATGATCCGTTACTGTACTCTACTACAAACTATTGATCAAAAATGAACTAAAGCCTTATGAGGCATATATCGTTGAGTCAAATAGTAACTTTTTCCTGACAGAAAATAATAAAACAATTGATTTTTTACTATGATCAAGGACAAAATGGAAGGAATTTTCGTGAATTTATTGTCGAAAAGCGGATTGAAAAGGGGGAAATATAATTCAATGAGTAATAACATGGAGGGTTCGAAAATAGAGCACCAACGGCGTTTCTTTAAAAGCTTTGCAGATATTTATTTATTTATATCAAATGGCAGGCTTTATGATATTTATCATTAGCCCTTAATCTTTGACTTCAGCTTCCCCCAAGAAGGGGGGGAGGTACATTTATAGCAGTTAATTAATAGCAGTTCATTATCTTTCCTCTTGCTTCCCAGTGACTTGTCCGTACTTGTCTTTAGGGCTGGACACCGAATCAGGTGGGTCTTATCCATTTCCTCCTGTTGGTTACATAGAGGGCATGTGGGTTGAGTGTATACTCCCAATCTGTGAAGGTGTTTTGCCAAGCAATCGTGTCCGGTACGTTGTCTTAACTCAGCAACGGCTTCGATTCTTGGCCAGTCGGGTGTCAGAAAAAGCCACTGTCCACTGTTTCTCCTTTGTTCGAGCTTTAATTTCGTTGCACCTTGAGGTCTGGAACTCTCTCCTGATTAAGGCCTTCATTGTGTGGAAAGATATCGGCCGGTCAATGCATTGCAAAATCGTTGTCCCCTTCTTAGCAAGTGTGTCAACTACATCAATGTCTGCTAATGGGTTCATAGGGGGAGAGAGGCTTTTTGGTTTTTCATCGATTTGTAATGCTTTCTTCAGTTCTATGGCTTTCTGTATTAGGCCAGATTGCGTTTTCAGATGTCTTGGTCTATTCTCATAGGTGCTGAAGAACTTGTCCATGGGAATGCGCAGTAGCTTCTCATACAGGATCAAGGCCTTCTCTTTGATAAGGGAACTTATTGTGGTGCTTCCTGTAACTAGGAGCATTGCATCAATGGGTGTTGATTTTATCCCTTCAGTAATTAGTCGTAATGCTTGGTGTTGTGCCCTCTATAGTGGTTTGAGAGTCACCTCTGTGGCTGTAATGAGTGGCTCACAGCAATACAACATTATTGGCTGAATAAACATCTTGTAAGTGGTGTTTAGAGTTGAGCGCGCACAGCCTCATACGCTACCAGCAAGACGCTTCAGTACATTCAGTCTATTGGAGACTCGTTCTGCTATTTTAGCAATGTGACTTTACCAAGTTAGCTTTGTGTCNCAGGATGTTGGTTGGAGTTGAGGGGACTTGTGTGAAGTTCATTCTCCAAAAGGTTTGTGAATCTAGACCAGTCAGCCTTCTTGAAGTTCCATGATAGCTTAGTTGGCACTTTCCTTGTCATGCTTTTGCTGCCGATGGTAATACTCGCAATGACTGGTTTGTGACCAGAACCAGGATCTTCAATTATTTTGTGGTGTGTATGCTCACTGATGTCGCTTGAAGCCAGGAGCAAGTCAGGAGTTGTTCTGGTTCCATTGTAGTGCAAATATGTAGCCGGATCCTCATTGCTGTAAATAAGTTCCAGAGGGTTTCTGTTTAGCATGTCTTCAATTTCCTTTCCAGCTATGTTTGTATCCTTGTAGCCCCATCTGGTGGAGTGGGCGTTGAAGTCTCCTAGTACTATGGTTTTGTGTGAGATTTTCAGAATGTCAAAGTTGGGACAATTCTGGGGTGGATTATAGACTGCATATATCTTGAAGTGGATTTGAAATTTCCAAACATTTAATCTGATTATTTCACATTTGTCTTGTGTCGAGCCCATACTCTTGAATAGATCGTATTGTGAGGTGAGGCCTTCTTTAACTCCAGTTAGAATTCCACTTGCAACTTGCCGGTATTTAGGTAGATTGTACAGAGTGTAACCTGGGAATTGGTAGTACTTCAGTTTGTCATCCAAAATGTTTGCTTCCATAATTGTGAAAATGTCTACATCATAGGTTTGTAGGATTTTCTGTACTTGGATCTTTTTGTCCGGAGACATTCCTCCAGCTTTCCACTGGAGGATCTGAAGACGTTGTGATTCACCCTGACGAGGGCGATTTTTCTTATAGCCTTTTTTAAAGCTAATCATAATACATTGAAGTCAAAAACGAATGCCGAGTGATAGACTTTTTTGCCGTAAGAAAATACGTTGTCCAGGGTGCACCACGTGGAGGTAAGTCTATAGTTAAATCTTCACTTAACGGGAAGTTCATTCCTGTACTTATTAGAATTCATTAACCAGAACCACTGGTGAAATGCCTATTATTTCAAAATTTAAGGTTCGTTTTGACCGATTCTCATTATTGTCAAATTTGAACATTTCCATTTTTCCAATAATTATCAATATTTGTTTCAATTTCATAGACAATTATTTTAGCAATACTCCTCGTTATATATATATAACGAAATGGGTGTTTTATTATAATCTAACGGATCGCGGCGGAAAAATTGATACTCTAGACTAGAATGTAACAATTAAAAAATTAATGTGTCTATAACAAATTTTACCAGGGAGAGTCAATATAATTTTCATTTTAGTAATTACGCTTGATAAAAATTTACAATAGTGGCTACTTTCTTTAATCATCGGTGTCTATTCCCTCAACAAATGAATTAAATTGCTATTCTGGGAAGAAACAACAAGTTAAACCTAGTACTTTGCTATCATGTTCTTATTAATTTTTTTAGGAAATTCTTTAAAGTTTATATACCCCATTTTAGTAAACTTGTAAACTAAATTAAATCGTTTTGTATTGCCACAAAATAAAATTAGTTTATTTATTTCAAATGGTAGGCGATTTGATGGTTATTGTTAGCACTTTAATTGACTTCGGGCTTCACAGAGAGGAGGAGGAACATCAAAGTGAAAAAAAGACGAGAATAGTTTTTCGAAGATATAGAAAAAAGGTAAGGTGAGTACTGCGAAAGTGTTCGAAGATGACATAAAGTGGGGTTATGGTAGTTTGAAGCCAGAAGTCAACTACCGATTAATTGACTGCCCTACGAGTATACTTTGCCCATTGTGCACCACATGGAGATATGTCTATCGCAACACTCCATATAAAATTTATAAAAAGTAGGTCAAATGCCTCTTAATACCAGTCAGAGCATTTCTCAAGCCAATTGACTTGGCGGTGAAGGCTTTATGCAGTCGTCTTTAGAAAAAAATGTGCATTCTATTGATTGGAATTAATCCACCCAACCGGTCGGATTCACCAGTGGATGCTAATTGAAGCATATTTAATTTTAACAGTTTTAATATGTTTAATTAAGTTAAATACACTGCCTCACTGCACATTCTATGGAATATGAATGACGGGAAGACACACCTGCAAGACAAGTTTACAGAGTGACGTCATTTGGAAAATTTCATTGAATATAAATTATTACTTGAAAAAGGAGAAGATTTAATGCATATTTGAGGGGCTGAGCTTAGAGTATGCAGAGTTGAGGACAAATTCGGGATATAATTGGTCTATCAGCTTAATAAAAATAAAACTTCAGTGATAGTTACTGGCATTTAACATTCGCAAAATTTATGGTGCATCACCGAATCGTATCTATCTCAAATCTCAGATATTTGAAATAAAAAACAAAAAGCTAAAATCTAAAAGTGACATTATTTCAAATCTGATTCAACCATTAAGTTTTGGATAGGATACACCAAGCATTTAAATAAAAGACGCCTACTTGTGGCCTCCAGGAATAGGACAAATTGGAAGAGTTATGATAATATAGCGCCATTTTTCAGCTCTACTTCGAACTCAAACAAAAGTTGTACAATGCAGACATTCAGAAAGCTTCCAATCATAATTTAATTGCTACCTGAGATAGAACGAAAGCATAAGGCGAAGTGTCTTAATGTTTAAAAAATTGGGAACCTGATGACATAAATTTAAGTGGGCAATTCTATTTCATTTGAACTGTTTTGCAGCCACTGCTATTTGTACTTTGTTTGAGTAAACTTGCGAAACAGCACATGTGTTTACTTAAAAAATGTTTTCATGGAGTCTGTTTCACAAAACGAGGTGTCTGCGATGGACTTACCTCCACGTGGTGCAACCTGGGCAACGTAAGCTCATACGGCAATAAAAGTCTATTAATCGACAGTTGACTTCTCACTTCAAACTACCATCACCCCACTGCGGTAGTTGACTTCTGACTTCAAAGACAAAAAAGTCTATTGATCGGCAGTTGACTTCTGACTTGCAAAAAGTCTATTGATCGGCAGTTGACTTCTGACTTCAAACTACCATCACCCCACTCTATATCATATTCGACTATTTTTACAGTACTCACCTCACCTTTGTCCATATTCGACCATTTCACAGTACTCACCTCACCTTTTTTCTTAAATTCGACCACTTCAACAGTACTCATCTTACCTTTTCTCTTCGACTTCTCACTTCAAACTACCATCACCCCACTGTATGTCAAATTCGACCCCTTCCACAGTACTCACCTCACCTTTGCTCTACTGTCGACTTCTTCCACAGTACTAACCTCACCTTTTTTCTACCTATTTCTCACTTCAAACTACCATCACCCCACTGTATGTCATATCCGATCCCTTCTGCATTACCCATCTTATTTTTTCTCTTCCTTTGTGTCTGTCTGTCTCTTTTACATCTGTGAATCTTTATTCTGTTCCTCTCTTTCGACTTTTTGTCACTTTGACGTTCCTCCTCCTCTCTATGAAGCCCAAAGTTAACTAAAGAGTTAATGATAATTATCAAAACGCCTATCATTTGAAAAAAAATAAAAAAATGAGTATCACATTAAGATCATCAAATTGCGAATGGTAGCCTTGGATGATCAGATATGGATGAAGGCATATATCAGCTAAAATAACCCTATTCTTACTTTGCTCTATGCTGGAAAGCAATCAAATTGTACTAAATTTACATCATTTCCATATTAAACAATAAGGCGAGTGCTATTGCAGTTGATAGAAAGACTATGTTTGTTCAATTACTATTTATCATTTAATTCCGGTTATATGAAATCTCCTTCAATTTTGACAGTTCGTTTTGCCTAATGTTTCCACAGTCTACTTGATTCGTTTTATCTAATTAGTAGAAGTGATTAGCAGACTTATTTTAGACGCAACATAACTCACTAGAACTAATTTACTCTTTAAAATAAAAACTGCTTTTTTTAATTATGGTGAATTCATGGTGATTCGATTTCGTGTTAGGATATTTGCCAAAGAAATCATTTTTTGCAAGTGGTTTTATTTGTAAGTTAAGAAAAAGCACAATAATATAAACAAGTTAAAATTAGACAATTGGTTTAAATATGGTTAGATTTGGTCAAATTCATTTAAATCACAAATTTACTATACTATTCATGAGAAGATGCTTTTTCTATTTAACTTATTAAAGTTAAATATGTTTAGGAAAAAATGACATGACATTTAAAGTACTGGTTTTGTTGAATATTACATGGTATCATAGATTCTTCATACATTTTATGCAATGTACGTGGTTACTAACTATTAACGTGAAAATTAATGAAATGATACTTGTTTCATCAACTCTGGAATTGTATGGTATCATTATGCTATATGGATTTAATTATTGAAATTATGTAATTTAAGACTGGTCTTAAAATATTTTGAATCGACTTGAAAATTTATTTTCAGGAGATTAAGGTTGTTTAATCCCTCCCAGAATAAATAAGCTATCTTAAAGACAGTTGGTAAGTTATCATCTTATCATCAATCCACATGGTATTAAGCCATTATCAGGCTAAATAATGCTGCTCTTGCTTTATAGATGTAGCATATCTCCTCCAAAGTCAATTTTTGGAGTCGATATGTCTTTTAGTAATAATTAAAAGCACTCTTTGATCAAGTGATTATTAGAAGAATGCTTCCTGTTATTGCCATTGAAATACCAGATTGATATTACCATGATAGGTTTGACCAAGAGACACTTATTTATAACTAATGGAAAGCGTTTTGATAGTTCTCATTAGCTGTCTTCAGAATTCATAGAGAGAAGGAGAAACACCAAAGTGACAAAAAAGTTGAGAGGGGGGGGGGGAACAGAATAATGATTTATAGGTGTGAAAGAGACAGACAGGCACAAAGGCAG